ATTACTAAAATCCAGCTACAAATGAGTCACCAGTTTCTACAACTGTTCTTACCTTCCATTCTTGTTTTCAGCCAACTCAAAATGCAAGTTTTGGCAGCCCTTCAACTTCATCTCATTTGGTTCTACTTTTCCTCAGTGCGAATTGGAGAAATGGCTGATAAATCAAACTCATCCACTAACCACATCATCCACCTCTGCCCAAGTGCAGCTTTCTACAGTTGGTAAATGAACAACAATTTCTGAGCATTCTAATCATCGAACTCCTCCTGAAAAATTACACTGATTTTACTAAAACGGCAGTGGAATTTTGCAGATTGAAAACTCTGAATTTATTCTGTTCCAGAATCTATCCTTGTCTTCATGTAGATGTTATTGTCTCATCACATCTCCATCCTCTCTGAGAGTGGAATCCTTGAAATTCAGTTATCATTGTTCTGATACTGCCTTGGGAGCTCTGTTTCTTGACTTTGAAGCTGTGCACAGACCAGTCAGGTCAGGAAATATTGGGAATATTCACATGTGGAACTACAAATTATGCAAGACATTCAGGAAGCAAGAGCCTAATGGAAGAAATCAAGGAGTAGAATAACATGTGTGGTATGAAAATAATTTTATCAAAACCAAAAATATATATTTACTTTCACAGAACCTGTAGCACAAAACTCAAATTATGCAATACCTCTCTTTTTTTAATTAGCATAGAAGTCATTTGTGTTTAACTATATATTAGGAGTAAGAATATTGCAAGTGCAGAAAATTTTCACCTTTTTTTTTCCTAAAAGGTACTTTTTATGTGGTGTCATTTTGGATAGTTTTACTTTCAGACCTGTATAGAATACTTTTTTAAACACCAACAGAGAACTAGGTTATCAGTATTCAAAATACAAGGACATTCCTGTTTCCTAATTAGGGAATGTGCTTTTTGTGTGACTAAAATCACAAAACGTGTTTACCTAAGTAAAACATTTTTTAAGGTCCCTGCTGAAGATTTTTTCACTTGTATTTTAGTTTTTTGCTGGTGAGGAAGTTCTGGGGGGAAAAAAAATCCCACCACCAAAGCCTCTAAACCCCGACTTCTATTTATGATTTCTATGAAATTCTCCAATGAACATTAACCATGAAAAATATTTATTTCTTAAGATTTTATTATGATTTCTAAAGTGCTGCAAAAGCTTTTGAAGACTTCACCATTTTTCCAATGTCTAAGAGTGTAAGGGTCTGTTAACAGAATTGGTCTTTCCAAAGAATATGTAAATCTGTATGGGACTGCCTTAACCTCAAGTCTTTGAGACGTCAGTGATTGTTCATTCTCCATAGTGGAAGGAGATACTGAGTAATTCAGTGAATGAGCACAAATCATGAGTGTTGGGCCACAGAGACTATTCTGATTGTCTAGGTTTTTGTTCTGTCCCTTTTAAGCTCTTTATTATTCTTAAGCAATAAAACACAATACAGATTCTATATCTCTCATGCTATAACATTTGAAAGAAAAAATAAAAATGTCCCAATTTAATAGGTACCTATTATTATTTCGGGCAGGATTGACAGTTACCGACTTTGTTAATTTATAGAGATTATGTCTATATTTCAGTTTTGGCCCATTGGCTGCTCCAAAGCTTTCTTCCTGGTGGGGATTTCTCCTAAGAATTACTGGGCAGGTGTAGTGTTCCCCTGCCTGTGTTTCTTTCTCTTCATGTTTTGGTATGTTATGGTGCCAGACATAGTACTGATGTGTGTTCTACATAATTAGCGCAGGAGAGAAATTAATCCCAGAAAGGCATTACCAATGGTTAGAAAGTTCTGCTTTGTCAGTTTATCCTGTTTTTAATAATGTCTTTTGCAAGAACAGAAAAATGTAAATAGTGTGACTTCAGTATTTGCTCCAGGTAACGTTGCATATTCAATTTTTGTCCCAGTTTCTTCATTGCCCTGTGCCATACTCAACTGCACTGTAATTGTGCTTTTTTTGTGTCATCACAACATGTTCTTGAATCATTTACCCAGATTTCTCTTTTCTAATTTGTACCATAAAGACACATAATACAGCCACACCAGTGTTTTTGAAGTCCTTGTGAAATTTTACCATACTAACAGGTGTTTTGATTTGCACGTGGTATTCTCCCACATATTCTGGGAATCACTTTACAGATGGAGACGACTGCATCAAAACATTTCCTTTCATTTATTTGTTTATTTAATTAGTTGTTTCTTTGTTAATGGAATTTCCTTGGTTCTATACACTCTTGTTTTCTTTCATGTGTTTCTTCAGGAATGCCAGCCTATCAGTATATTTTTAATCAGATATTGAACCATGTTTGTAAAAGAAATAAATGATGGATTTGTACACCCATCCATCTGCAGAATAGACCCAGGGAACAAAACATTTTAAACTGTTTGTTAACAAGCCACAGTATAATGTACATTATAAGAAAAATAGCAGAACACATTTTAGAAATTTTGATTTAGTAAGCAATTTTAACACAAGAACTTAAAAAAACCCAGAATATCTTTAATAAATGTATATTTTTATGTTAATTCTAGTGACATTTTCTTGCCTACATTTGTTTTATTTGTTTTATGGACTTGGAACCTAGTAAATCCCTCTTACAATTTTTTTACCATATATTTGATTATAATAAAAAATTATATGTGAAGATTTCCTGCCATTCAGAGTATTTATTAGCTTGGGTTTTGTCCTACCTATAAATCCAAGATATATTACATCATCTACATTTGAATAAGAGAATGTGAGAACATAGGAAAATTATACTGAGTACTATCTACATTTTTTCCATTATTTTAGAAAATAATTAGATAAACTAAAATGAGATTGCAAAATTACTCTAAAATCTATTTCATTTAAGTATCTTTGTGCTTATTTTCATTATTATTTTCTTTTATAACATCTATTAATACTCATATGTGCTTAGGGATATATAGAATTACTTATAGTGAAATATGTATTAATGAATTAAAGTATTTGGGATTATTGATAGTTATGAATGAATCACGAATGAGGTATTTACTATTGTATTTATGATTCATTGTCAGAGGTTGTAACTTCTTAAGGAAATATTTATCATCAAGGTAAAATCAGAAATTAAATTTCTGAAGTATATATACATTTTAGGTAGGAATAATTTCGTTTGATTATTATTAAATATTACATGGTTAATATTTAAATAAAGAAGAAAATATTCATAAATGTTATTGACTATGTCATAGAAAGTACTTGCTTTACATATGGATAAGCATATATTTATATAATGCTATATAAATAAGCATTTATATATAAGATTTATATATATATAAATCTGACTTTGTATTAAAACTAGAAAACAACTTAATAGGTTTTTTTAAGAAATTGCATTTTGATTAGCCCAGGAATTACTTCCAAAAGCCATGATGTTCACTACTGTTACATGTTTACTAGCAACATCATAATTTTTATTTTCCCTTTTGAGCATATTGTGGGAATAGACTTTTAAGTATTAAAATTGATAGCTAAGTGGTCTAAGTTGCTAATTTTTACCAATCCAAAGAGGCTCATGGGTTAGAATTCAAGAACTTTAATTTACAAACTTTTGCTGAGTCGTTTTCACAGGAAACAAAATTCCATCTACTTTGAGTCTTACATAGGATCAGAATACTTTTCTTTCTATAGAAATCATGATAAACAGCATGCTTCATTTGACTTCTTTACATCAAATATTTTAAGATCTAAATCGTGGCATATTTCCTTTATTAAGTCAGGGAACAATTGTACTGTTTTAAAAGCTCAGATGTTTAAACATCAGCTGCTGCTTGGTGAGTATTGAGTGTCATATGCAGTAAACTTGAGTATATGCATTATGTAATTGAACATAAAAATCTTCTTCAAGCTTAATGTGATGGAGTCATATAGGTACTGGGTTTTTGTTCCTTTTCCAACTTAATATAACGAAGGTAGGTTAACATCAGTATTTTTAATCATGTTTGGCATTTTTTTCCCTTAAACAAAAAAAATGAGATGACAAAGTACAACAAATTTCCCAGAGGTTGCCCAGAGAAGCTGTGGCTGTCCCATCCCTGGAAATGTTTAAGGCCTATTTGGATGAGACTCTGAGCAACCTGGTCTAGTGCAAGGTGCCCCTGGCCAGGCAGTAAGGTTGGCATGAGATGAGTTTTAATGTCCTTTTCAATCCCCAAAGTATTGTGTGATTCTGTAAATAAAGAGCAGAAGAAAATATTTTCTTTTTCCTCAGTCATAATACTTCATGGATTTTGAAGAATCAAGAAGAGGACTTTATTTTATTTAGTTTTACCTAACAGTTGTATACTCTTTCATTTCAAATAATTTTGCAGGGAGGGGTAGGGATGGGGAAGGAGAGTCATTATGGATAAGGATTTTTATAAAATTTATGTTCTAGAAAATTGAAAGGCAGCATTCATTTTTCTCCCTTGCTTCTTCCATGGAACGAAAAGGAACTGAAATCCAGAAATTCTAGTTGCATTTATGGTTCAAGATTTTTTAACAGTTGTGAGACTCTGGGATTTGTTCATTGTCTGAGGCATTACTTCTATTCAGTTTCAGAGTTGCAGTGATAAGGACCAGAGATACTGCTGTGTGTAATTTATTGTATATAGTGTTGTATCTATGCATTTTTCTTAACAGCATCATAGCACAGTGAGACCATAACGAAGTTTTGAGTAGCAGTTCAGTATTGCTGTCATAATTTGATACATTTTGTGGCTTCCCTTGGCAATGTTCCTTTAAGCATGTACTTATTCCTTTGATTATACTGCCTAGAAAGAGAACATGTTTTTCTATATTTTCTTTATTTATGGAAATTTTCATTTTTGGAAAACTTAGAAGTTGCGTAGGTGTCAGTAATAACTTCACCATAGATGAAGAGATGCTTTCAGTCATTCTTATCAGTAGTGTTTAATATATAAATTCTACATTGATATACATATATAAATATGTAAAACCTTTTCTTTTCCTGAATCAATGTAAACAGAGCCCAGATGGCCGTATAGAAGTCAAAGGGCAGCATGGAAAATCGTCACTGCATATTAAAGATGTGAAGTTGTCAGATTCAGGGAGATATGACTGTGAAGCGGCAAGTAGAATTGGTGGGCACCAAAAGAGCATGTACCTTGATATTGAATGTAAGTTCTAATATTTTGTTTTCTCTTTTAAATTTGTTTTAAAATAAATAAAAAAAAAAAAAACAAGTACATTCTTAATGGAAGGTCATTTTTTTCATGGTACTTCATGATTAAACTTGCATAAATGAAGAAAGCATGTCCTGTAGTTCATTACTCTGTGGAAGAATACTGTCTTTTCTGAAGTTAGCAAGACCCTTGGTGTATTGGTGACTTAAGCAGGACAGGATTTCTTCTGAAGTCATATTCCAGTGTCATTATCCATTAACTTAAGGCTAAGCTTAATAACATCAAATCTCTGGGCTGGCTGAGACTGCTGGGAATGAAAAGTATCCAGCGGGATAAAGTAAGGACTGATTTAAGCACCAGCTAAGTCTTGAGCTTAACCTTCTAAGATTCAACAAAGATTCTTTTTTGTTTCTGAGTCCTCTGATTTACTAATCCCTAAAAGGTCTCCAGCCACTATTATAACCCCTCCTGAAGTTATGTTGTAACAGTCTCTTTTAGAGATTGCCTTTATTCCAAGCTCTTGTTTTTTATCCAGGAGAAAAGGAGATTATTTTTGCTTAGAAGAGGCTGATGCTTGAGAAGACAATCAGAGGATATAAATCTGAAATATAAAATAATTCATCGGGTAATTGCTTCTTCAAAATATTTTTCAAATTCACAAGCAAAGGTCTTCAAAAAATGAAAACAAGAAAAAAAGCCCTTCCTTTTTTTTCATTGTTGCTCCATTTCTAATCTAGAAATTTCTAGATAAAATTATTTGACATCTCCAATGGAGTTTGCATGAGCCTGTTTGAACTGAGTCTTTGAACAGAAAAATTCTTTCCAGTGGGAAGATAAAAGCTGGAATAGGATTCTGTGGCACAGAAATAAAAGAAATGATTGCAAACCACAGAGTGATTTCCTGAGGAGTTCTGAAAGTGCTTTTACTATACAGTTGTGTGTTCTTTTTTTGGCAGGGAGGCATTGCATTGTGGCATAGAGTATAAATCTAAAAGAAAAATGAGGAATGATCAAAAGGATTTTTAGGTGTTAGGAGTAGAGATATTTGCCAAGCCAGAAGATCTGAGAAATAGATCCTAATTTGCTATATTTGTTTTCTTTAATGCATGCAATTATAACTTTATATATATATATATGTATATATAAAGGAAAAAAATACATCAAAGCAAATTAAGTGAAGTTTCTTTAAAATCCTGCCAACACTGCACATAATGATATGAAATAAATACATGGTTTGATTATGGTTGTGTTACCACTGTGCTTTAACATTAAATATTAATATATTTTGTATTCAGAAGAGAGAGATATGTTGCGCCACATATTATGAAACATGGACAATTGAAATTTAAGAATTTATTAGCAATACAGAATTCATACTAGAGGGCATAATAAAACCTCTGCATTGATACAATACATTATTATAACCTAAGATACCTTCCAGGGTGAAAGTTTTAGAAGAGGTGGAAAGAATTTAAAAGTAGCAGAATCCTTTTTTGGTATGGAAGAATTAATTTTGAATATATGTGGGAACAATGAAATATAGTATATGAGAAAATGGAATAACTTAAAGACTGAATTTATTCCTTGGTAGACACTATTTTTGATACAGCATAAAATTTTCTGTAGATCTAAGATCCTCTGAGGAAACAGTTTATAAAGAACATAGAAATATTATTCTATCATCGGAGAAAACACTCATTTTAATGAATATTTTTAATGTATAACAGAAGATTTTTATTGTATTTCTATAACTGGAGTTTTAAATACTTAGCTGATAGTGAGCTTTAACCCAAATGTGGGGTTTTTTCCAGCACAGGTGTTGTTGGACTAACAGAAATACAGCTTCCCTCAAGTCCTTTAAATCAAGTAGTTCTGTGATGCACAGCAAGTATTTCTGGGGTGATACAATATAGGTCTGTCTCATATTCTGATTAACGAGTTAGAAAAATGTTTTGCTTTCCTTTGCAAATAACTTTGCACTGGTATATGAGCTTCAAATATAACTTACTTATAAAACACTTATTTAATGGTAAAGAAAACACTTGTTTAATGGTAAAGGATTCTCCTGTTCTTTAAAATAATGTCCCCAGGAGTGCCTTTTTCCAGCCTCATCTCCTATCAGTCTGGCCTATGCCATAAACTTCTGTAACAGAACAGCCCCTTCAAAGAATCTTTCAGCACCTCCTTGCCCCCATTTCCATTCAATGCTGGGTTGTCCTGAGCTCTTACAGTCCTTTCTCCAACATCTTCCTATATGAAGCAGTGTCATGATTATCTGTCATTCCACTTATGGGACTTGATAAGATGCAAGCTAAGGAATTTCAGCAAAAGATTCAGGTTCAAAAACTGAATACCTAATTTATAATTTTGTAGCAAACTAGTAAAAATTGGGGGATTCCATGAAGTCAGTATTAAATAGATTTGATTCAATTTGATTTAATGTTTTCCAAGTGGCATTTTATCAGCATACTAATTGCAGCTACAAACAGTGCTATCAGAGCTTTTACATTTTTTTTCCCCCAGATTTTCATTTAAAGAATTGCATTAAACCCTTTAAAATATTTGAATTTTTCTCTTCCATCAGTTTGGTTTTGCTCTCTTCCAAACAAGTTTTGAGAAGAAATTATTCAGGTATGGCTCACTCTTGCAGTTAAGCCATTTTAACAGAAATTTTAATTTTCTTTAATAGTATTCTCATATATTCCCCCGATAACAATTTTAAAATTAAAATATAAATAGATAAGAAGGGTTTCATTCTTGATATTGTTCTCTAGTTTCTAGATGAAAGTAAACAATGCATCCATGCATTTCTGTAAGTTAGTAACAAAACCATGACATTTTTTCTTTATGTTTTATTATGTGTAGTGAGGAGAGGAAACTGCTTCCATCACATCCTGTGTAGTGAGGAGAGGAAACTGCTTCCATCACATCCTTAAATGCCACCTCAGTCAAACAGGCCTAATGAAGGCACAGAGTGCTCTAGTGTCACTGTCTCATCCTTTTACTTACTGACCCCTGTCAGAGATTTAAACTGACAGTAGAATTGCACAGAATTTCTGTGCTTTATCCTTGTTCTCTGCTGGGGTTGCTCCTGGTGATAAGAGCAGTTCTCCAGGACAGGAAGAGATTATCAGGTCTGATAACAGCTGGACACAGTTAACCCTGACTTTTATCTGAAGGAAATGCTGGGCAGACATGAATTGCAGGGAACTAGGGGATATTTTTAAGGATTTCTTCCTGCAAAGTCATCTTTGTGTTTAGTTATGTTTAATTTTCCTTATATAAAGTATGAAAGGTACATCAAAATGATATCAAAATAAAATGCCATTTTCAAATATTATTTATTAATGGATTTCATTAACTGCAAAATTTCCATTTTAATGTGAAGCCTAGTGTGTATTTGATGAGAGTAATAATACATAATTATTTGAAAAGTTCCTACGTGGTGGAATATATGATATGTATTGGGTATTAAGATGTATCTATAGTTATTATCTACATATTTATCATGGAGAAGTAACTATTTTTTTAAATTAAAAGCATTAGAGAAATACATAAAAAAGTTAAAGCAGGCCGTATGCTAAGATGAGGTTTTCGAGATAGCCTGAGGAATTTAAATATATAAACCCTAGTGAACTATACCTTGATTTTACATAGAATATCAGGTGTCTCTCAAAGTTAGTTTTCCTATACAAACCTTAATATTTCTATGTGGTATTTTTTTGTCTTTAAAAGCATAATACAGACCTGACTAAAAGAAAAATTCTGATGAGAGAACACATTAGGTCTTGGGTTTCACAAATTTTTCACTGCATAATTAGCAATGAAGAAAAATCTTAATTTTTACATGTTCAGTGTGCTGGATCATCTTTCACCACAGTGAAAGTGTGTCTTAGTTAGGGTTCCCCAACATCATTACTAAGCTTTAAACAAGCCAGTAATGCACAACGTTTATGATCTTTGAAAGACTCTTTATGTGCCCTTACAGTTTTCCCTCTGTTGTGTTCAAAATGTCATTAACCTGTCAGAAGCTTTCACAGCCATCACTTAATTTTCTCCTCCCAGGTGCACTCATTATGTAAGATGCTACTGTTTCTGACTGCTCTGTATCACCAGATGCAAATTTCTTTGGACAATACTCCTTTTACCAGAGAAAAGGCACTGAGCTATGTCCTTTGGAAAACTCTGTTTTCCCATACACTATCCAGGAAGCATCCTGACTAAGAGACCTTTTTAGTTGGAATTACCAGTTTTCACATCACTATTTTATTTAAACCTCTCAATTTCAATACTGATATTGCAGCAATTAGATATGCTGGATGGTCCAAAAATGCCTGTTTTCTCACAGTATTCAAAGAGTAATGTTTTGAGATAGAATTATCTATGACAAATATATTACAGTGAGTAATGTGGTATATTTTTGTATGAGATCAGCCATGTGAATAGTTGATAAAAATGATATCTTAGAAAGCAATTTTTAAAAAAAATTAAATTATTTATAGTGTCTTCCAGGAATATGAAGTTTTTCTTAATACTGCTTTTCATCCAAACATGATTTTTGTAGTTATATTCCTTATTAGTTAAGTATCAACTTTGAGTGGTGAAGAGAAAAATAGTCAAGCAGCCTGTGCAGTGTAGTCTTTACCTGTAAAGAAAACTGTGCAGTATTTGTTATACTATTGTATTGCTTATCAATAACAGTCTTTTCCTTTGTGTTTTTTTTCCCTGCCACAATTTGAAACCAACCTCATTAGCTGCAGTATTGAACTTGGTTTCATGAATTGATTATTCTTTCTCTTTATTGTGTGTTCGCTGTATTGCACTGCAGTTGAGGGGGATTCTTTGGATTCATGCAGTTTAATTTTATGTCTATGTAAAAAATATACAACATTACTTAAAAGTGAATTCAACATATTGAGCTACAAATTGTATTTATCTACAAGGAGGAAAGGTTTTCAATTGGTGAAAATGCTACTACTGTGTTCAAGACATCA